AGCGGGGATAGATTGATGGGATGACTACGAGCTTCCTTGCGGCTATCTCCGGCAGTTTATTGATTTTAAGGTATTGACGTTTATCAAAGCCACACTTGTGTGCGACTTTTGCCGTGGGACAAATTAGTATTGCCAATGACACCAACGCCAAATTCAACTGAAGAAATCTTAATTGATACAAGCGAGTTTTATTTTTTCTGGCAGACATTTGCATCCGGTTATTATTTATTATTTTTAATAGGAAACACTGCGAAATTTATCTCCGAATTTCGAAGAATAGGGGATTTATGAAAAATAAACTCCGACGAACACCGAATTTTCGGTAAAAAATAAACTCCGAAAAACACCCTCCGAATTTCACGAAAAATAAACTCCGAAAACACGGAGCCCTAACTATAATCAATGTAGAAAATCCCCCTCCAGCCCTTCCACTTTTTGAGTTCACTTTGTGTGCAATGTGATGTGAACTGTTTGCAGTACTTCTATGCCCGGCCTGAACGTCCATGTGCAAGGTGATGTGAACTGTCTGTGGTAATGCAGTGAAGCAGAATTTTAGTCATTTTTCTTTTGCACTGTGTTCAAAGATTTCTCATATAATAAATATTTGGCATTTGCTTTTGGCCTTTGTATTGCATATTAAATTTATAGGGCACATAAAAAATTCTGTTTTTTCAAATTGTTTCTTTAAAAAATTCTTGCGGTAGGCAAAGGGTTAGAACGATGCAAGTTGTAGTCACGGACAAGCAAAAAAAATACCACAATGCAAAAGAAACTTTCCCCAAGCGCGTGCGCGCCTCTTTATCCCCCCCCCCTTCCAAGCATTTTTCTCTCCCGCATCTCGACTTCTAGCTTCGTTTTATTTGTGACGTAATCGATTATGAGATTTAGAAGCTTCTTTGTAAGCGACATTTCTATAATATTTAATAACGGCATTCGTAAAACACGTTTTTTAACGCAATTGCGAACACACTACGGCCCTTCTTGTAGAAATACCGAAGATCTGAGACCGGTGTTATGTTGCCTCCCGGCTTTTTATCCTCCCTCAAAAAACATGGCAGCGCTCGACAGATCTGGCACCAAGGATGATCGGTGAGTCGGGGAATCGGACGCTCACTTTTTTAGGTGCGACAACCTCTCAGACTTCGAAAAGGAAATTGCCAAACGATCAAAACAACTGGATTTGGTGTCCGTGTATTGTAGCTTTGCTTGTGACTCTGCCGGGGCAGCTTTTCACGCAGAACCGGCGCAACGTGGCCCCTCACATCACACACAAAAGTCCACCACTGCGCGTTCACTTCAACCTCACACCATTTCAAAGAATTTGACGTTGCTAAAAGAGCCCTAAAAGAACTTCAAACGTGAAAGTGAAGCGTTGGCTGCTCGCAGTGATATGTGGCGGCACACACAGAGGAGAGCGGCCAGCACACACAGCACTTTGGGTTGGGACGGTTCGGAGGCGTCAAAGAAACTCGAGTTGCAGGACAACTCAATTTCTGACATCATTGCACCTGGCACGGATTGCGCTGGAACTTCAAATTCGGCTTTGGGAAATTGTTTTTTTTACTTCACATATACCGGGTTCCAAAGTTTCAAACTTTGAGGGTAGTGTCCAGGCATCTTTTTCCATCGTTTCGGATGATATTAAAAAAAAAATACAATTTTGACCTGTCAGTGCCCCTTTAAAAGAGCTGTGCAACAATTTTAACGTTGAAAAAATTTGCATCTCCTACTTTTGACATAGTTTATCTTGTCACAAAAGACAGAAAATGCATCTCCTTCCTTCGAAATGTTGTGATTCCGCCGCATAATCATGAGGCAAAAATTAGAATAGTTCCCGACCTGCAGCCGCGAGCGGCGACCATGAGAACCACGCGGCATGACGTCAATTGGAGACTTGCGAACAGATAGGAAGTTGTGCACTCAATAAAAGGTAATGTTTCTATCAATCTTGTTGTTCAAACATAAATATAAATGCGTCAAAAACCTGGTATCATTGACAAAACTTTTATTATACGGAGTTTTAGTGGCGCCATCTATCCTAGGTCAACAAAACTGACGGCTCTATCTGCTGCCGCGAACAGCCGCCAGAAGCCGGAGGGGGACGGGGGCAGAGCCGGACGGGGATGGCCGGACCTGGACGAGCAGGTTGGCACTTTCCTCCTTTCGCCATGTTGATCGCGCTGCGCAATCACGTGGTCACGTGGTCGCGAGCAGCTGAGTTCTCGCTGCTTACTGATGGCTCTGGAGAGAGCTTCACTGGAACCCAGCACGTCCCCCATTCCCGTCACAGCGCATATACTCGGAAGATGGTGAAGGAGTTGAGAGGTGCCGAAAACCTCAATCTTTGTCCATTTTTAAAATGAAAACTAGGACATGCAGGCAAACACTACCATCGAGTGGTGTGATTTATGGTCAATGAGCCTTAACGCTAACAAATGTAAGTCTATGCGTGTATCTCGACAATCTTCTGACAATCCTAACTATTTCCTTGATCAGGTTTATATGGAGCCGGTGTTGTCTTATAAATACCTAGGCGTGCATATAACATCTGACCTTTCATGGAAGAATCATATTCAGTATGTTTCCTCTAACACTAACCGCAAGTTAGGTTAGCGTAGTAAACAAAATTTTTCATTAGCTCCAGTTGCACGGAAGTTGACTCTTTATAAAACATTAATTCGTCCCAGGTTGGAATATGCAGCCTCTGTCTGGGATCCCGGACAAGTCACCCTCATCACTGCGTTGGAAGCGATTCAAAACAGATCAGCTCGTTTCATTGTTTCTAACTACCCAGTGATGGAAGTGCCATTTGACCTTTTGGAGCAGGCCTTGTAGCAGGCAAAATGTTGTTTTGGAGCAGGTAGTGGCCCTTTTAGAGCAGGGTCTGGCATATGTTGGCACATTACTTGAAAATGAAATAATGCTGCATTGCTATATAAAGCCCATCTCTATTATTAGAACACAGCGCCTGTCGCCTTTTTAAGACAGGATATATAAAATTCAACAAAATAAACGCGAAAAAAAAAAAAATTTTATATAAAGTTTATTTGTTTGTCAGATAAAAAAAAAATACAATTAAATATTGCCGCGCGCGCAGCTGGCCAAGTAGGCAGCGCGCGCGTGGCCTAACAGTTATCGTACCTGGCTCCCACGCAAAAAGCCAGGGTTCGATTCCTGGGAGCGACGCACCTTTTGTTATTCCTGCAATTTAGTTTTCTGGCAGATTCGAGAATCATGTTGCGTGTTCGAGGTCCAAATGTTCTACGCGTCGAACATTTTACGCCGATTATTCCAGAAGCTCACGCATGTACATAAGGGACGCCGCGTGGCGAACCAGACTCAGTCTCGCTCCAGCGCTCGATCTGCGGTTTCGCCGCAGTTCGCCCCCATTAAACATTTAGTTTACTTCAGTTTTCGTCGTCTCATCACTTGTCATCCGTGACAATATGTCACACTGAGTTCTGATGGTACAGGATATTAAGTTTTATCAGCATGCACTTCTTTTAAGGTATCTGCAGCAGCATCTAACAACCCTCACTGTTGTGGAATGTTTTAGTTCAGATTAGAGTTGTCTTTCGGGCAGCAGCTTCAAATATTGCGGTATGCTGCTTCAAATATTGCGGTATCTGATATTCGCTTCAAAAATTCCGATTCATTTTCGATGTGCTGGCAAGTCACGATCGCATCACAGCAAGTTAACCCGTTGAGTGCGCTCCTTGGCATGCACCGAGGTGCTGCAGAGAAGCGACACCTGCAAAGCAGACACCGCAGACCCGCGAGTCGCGCAGTGCTTTGTGCTCCGAAAAGGACGGTGAGGCTTTACCGGCACTACATCCAGAGTTTGGTGCAACTCATCTATACTTCGTTTCAGCTTCGGTGCGGGCGCAGCCGAAACTACAAGCGCGAGCATGGAGCCCGTAACGGTGCCAACACTGCACGAGCTCACGCGCGAGTCAGGAATGCACAAAGCACTGGGCTTGCGCTAGCTTTGACTTCGCTGGTAGCTAGCGCACGGGAACAGGGCGGGCCAACATTGAAAACATTCACAAGCTCAACCTTTTTTTTTTTTTTTTTAAATAGGCTGCTCAGTGGGATGGTTCTTCGCTTTGCCTCTGCGGCTTTGGTCTCAGATGTTGCTAACGTTGTTCCTTTCAATGATGATGATGATAATGCGTCCTCGCAGTTTCGGTTTGCGTAACAGTTGCGGCGCGGAAAATACCGCGGTACCGCCACGCGCTCTGACAAGACTTCAATTTTTATTTTTTATTGCTACATCTCATCTCGGCGCCAGGCATGGCGCAATTCTCCGGTAAAATGACAATTTGGCGCTACATGTAGCAGGATTGCGTCCTTGGCGCAATTGGAGCAGCACTTCCATCACTGACTATCACAACACGGCTAGCGTGACCGCCATGAAAGCTTCACTATCATTGCCGCCTCTAGCCTTGCGCCGAAGCATCTCGCGCCTTTCTTTATTCCATAAGACTTATTATCATAATTTTATCCTGCGCGACAAATTAATATCCCGTCCTTTTTACGTTTCTTCTCACAACGATCACAATCACAAGATTGGTATTCCAATTTCTAACACAACAACATTTCATTCATCGTTCGTCCCTCGTACATCACGAGAATAGAAACACCTTCCCGGGACAATTGCCACCATCACGGACCTCTGACCTTTTCAAAACTCCAATTACTAATCTATTATTTGTTGAGTGTGTTTAACCTATTTCTAGGCGTGTTTTTATTTTCTGTATTTTTCTTAGCTCTCCCCCTCTGTAATACCTCTGGCCTTGAGGGAAAATGAAATAAATAAATAAATAAAAACTTGCAGATTTAAGGAGATTGACTGAAGCGGCAAGGACACTCAACAAGTGATGAGGAAGATATAAACTGCAAAAGGGTTGATAACTGGGCTAGTTCGTAGTTAGACATTTGAACGGTATTAGCGCACATACGTGTGCGCTAATACCGTTCAAATGAGGAAGATCTCTCACCTGGCGCAGGGCAGCACCCGCAGCGGCGTCGTAGTCACCCCCGGAGAGTGCCAAGTAGACGCTCGTGAAGAGGCAGGAGTTGTCGGCGGGCACGGAGCGTCGGAGTAGCACCCCCGGCTCGGACACTTGGGCGGGGGAGCGGGCGCCGCTCGAGGGGTTACGGGCCGCCGCTTGCGGGTTGCGGACGACGCCCTGTGGCGTGCGAGGCCGCTGCGGGGAGGGTAATGCCACAACGCGGAAATCAGTAAGAAATCGACTCGCATCATCAACTTGTTTTGCCAAAGATATAGCGAGATATATCCCTAAAAAGGCATGTTTTTTAACCCTTTGAGGCACTCGAAGGGTTAATAATGCCAACATGTTGGCTTTCCACAAGCAGCATCCTATTAAAACACACACCTAGGCACAATGTTGATTGTGAACATGTTTTGTCATTTCCTGACCAACTCTGATCATTTGTATAACTTGCTTGCTACAAATAATTAAAAAAAAGTGCTTTTGCTGTTTTGTTTGAACTAATGTTTTTGTTTTCCATTTTGTACATACAGCATCCTTTTGAAATATAATATTCCCAGTGTGCTACTGAAAAAAATGTTTGTTCAGCATTGGTTCAAGACCCTGGTAAAGTGTGCCCACAACCTCACTGAAGTTCTTTTGTTTAAGTGCTTTTATTATGCCACTCCCATCCTACTCCTTGTAAGGAATAATAGTACCGTTAAATAATAACAATAATAATAATAATAATCACTTGAAAATTACACAAAGATTGCATAACTAAATGAGTCAATCTTTGATTATAGTTGAGGGTTCATCTTTGATATTAAAACATATTACTACCTTTTGTAATTATAATACATATAAATAATCATAAAAGTACAACATGGCACAAAGATGTCTTTTTACAAATAAGGCTCAAGTTAAATTAAATTCTGTTTACAACGGGGATTAAAAAAAATGGCTGACAAATGATTCACAGCAAGATACTTCAGCTGAGATAAAGTGTCTCTCCCATTCCCTCTTTTACGCTCATAGTTAATGTAGCCAGTCAATATCATTTATGTAAAGTTACGGAAAAAAAACAAGTACATCCACTAAAATGTCCGTGTTCCACCAAGAGTTATTAACGTACAAAACCCAAGTATCTAATATGATAAACTCCAAATCCCTCTTCCCTGCAATAACTATTAAAAAAATTAAAGTTGACCTTTTATCCCCCTAACCGTTTTGGACGAGCCTAGCTTGCCAACGTGAAGCCGTCCCCAAAGTATTCAGGGCTACTATAGGTCGTCCGACTTCCCCAGTTAACGCACTCTACTGTTTTGGACGGCCCAGGCTCGCTCATGGCTTAGTTTGAGGCTCTACCAACAGATGGCAGCACAAATTCTTCTCACAGCGAAGCTGCTTATGGCTAGGGTTTCGTGGATTTTTGTGTACGTCAACAAAAACTCAGAAAGGGCTCCCACCGCCCTCTCTTTGTCGTCGTTCCAAGCGCTTGCGTGCCTAGTTTCCTTTCCTTCCACCGGGTGGCAGTCTCGTCGCGCATGTCATTTCGTCCGGCTCCTTGGGTCGGCGATAGTCATCCACGCGAATGTATATAAAAAACCAAAAAGACAAGTTGCCATTCTCCATTTTTACTTTCACTTATCTTCTCTTGTCGTGATTGGGAGGCCGTGTATAATCCGGACTCCTGAGGAGCAATGTGCCTACGAAGACCAACGGCAGGAACGGCAATAACATTGTCAGCGGCGGCGGCGGGTAGCAAACACCATCGATGAAGATCATACACAAAATGCCAAGCGCATGTGGCAAACCAGACAAGACAACAAACGTTGCGGGGCAGAAAACGCATTAAAAAACGTTCAGCCTTTCCACTCTCGTGAAGAAGGAAGACTAGCGGAGCTGTACTCGCTACACTGCCACAACGCGCACGCACCCGATTCCCGCTTTTTCTTGTCCGACAAGCCGCCGATCGTGGATACGTCTCCGGCGAACCCAAGTCGGTCGCACACGGCGCACGTGATGCCAAACGGGTTCTCCACGAGCTCCCTCCGGAACCTCGCCGTCGCACCCGGGAACTGTTCAGCCGGCGTAAAGTGCAGTCGTCGCCGGGCCTCGTGCTTGCACTTGGCCTCCGTGACACGATCGTTGTCTGTAGAGTTGGCCCGCTAGCGGCTTTACATGGCTGATACGGTTCTTGGCGGCGGCTTTCCAGGCGAGCGAAGTGCTCTTTGGCAAGGGAGTCTGAAGTGCTGGACGCAGTGGAAGTCAAGGCAACAGCGGCTTTGCGGCGGTTGTGGACCCATTCGCGCTGCTGCGTACGTCGCGCTCCTTCCGCAGCCTGTCTCCTTTCCCCGAAAGGGCACGCGACCGACCCATCGCGAGTCCAGACCAAAACTGATAAGAGTGTAGGAATGTAGGAAACAGTTGCGCAAGACAGACGAGGACGAAGAAACAAACGTGACAAGCGCTGCGCTCGTTGCGTGTGCTTCTTCTTCGTCGTTGTCGTCTGTTTCCTACAATGAATTCCCCACCGACGCCCCCAACTATCAATTCTTCTATGATAGCTGGAAAGGTTGCCGCTATCTACGAGCGAAGGCGGAAATTAGGCTGGTTGTGTGCTTGCCGCGGTCGCTTATAGATGGCGGTAGCTGTCCAGGTAGGTTTGTGTCAACATACCGGACTTGATCCTGGGGAACCTAGCCCTTAAAAGCTCCGCTGTAAAAGACGCAGGTACCATGGTGCTAATTTGGACAACTTTAATGGAGCAGACGCCAAATGCAAAAGGGACTTTCTGGATAGACAGTTTGAGTGTTTTTTTCGTGACTAGAAACTTGATTTTGAAGGCAACAAATATAATTCTAAAGACAACAATTAAGCTGTAGAAGGTCAGAAATTTCCCAAAACTAAAAACGGTTAAAAGTGACACTCCTAATTCTGCAAGGGTCAGCGGCATCGAAACCAGAGTTCAGTCAGAGTTTGGGGCCCTTTCGAACGACTGCTGCGCAAAGACACCCCCCCTTCCTTGACTACTTATTCAAATACAGGCTCATATTTCTTGTTTCGTTGTTCGTTCACGGCACCACTCTTTAACATTAGAGGTCGACCTCCGATCAAGACCAAAATAGGTTGTCCTGTAATAGTGCTGAGTATTAAGTGTGGGCGAATAGCGGTTCAAACCGAATAGCGTTGCATCATTCTTGGCTTCATCACTGCAAAAAAAAGCCCATAGGTCGTTGATTTCTCCAGCACTCTGGAGGCTATGAATGATGCAGCACTATTCAATTTGAACCGTTATTTTCCCATTCTTACTGAGTACAATTTTCAAGCCCATCGTGCTAACCCACGGCTGTTCCCACGGGTATGCTTCCGTGTAAGTCACTTCTCCCAATGCATCGACGCAATGCGGTGAAGCTTGGTGCACGCACGCCTGTGTGAGGTGCCAGGGCATGAAGGCACGTGGAGTGGTTGACTTCCAGCTCCGTGACATTGCCAACATCGTCGTCTGGAAGTTCAGAGGATGACGGGGCCAGCGCGGTGGACGGGCTAATTTAGCTAGGGTGAGTAGAGACACCATGAAATACAGATTTTTATCACTTTCTTTCTCTTCTACTTTCAATGTTAGTGTCGACCGATATTAAGTTATCTCTCTGCTTCGTTTAAGCTCATCTTGGTGCAGATGCGGCGCAATTTTTGAGCAAAAATTGCATTTTGGCACAAAATGTAGCACACTTGCGTTCATGGAGCAAATGGTGCAGCACTTCCATCACTGTATTCTTCGCAGAGCATGCTACAGTGTTCTTACGAGACTCCAAATCGTTATCCAAGGCAGAAAGCTTGCTCTAGAGACGGGAAAACCGAAAGACCTCCTTCTCCTTGTGTCAGCGACTACGTTGGGTGTCGAGCCACGGTGTTACACTACATTAGCTAACGTCACTACCCGACGCCATGACGTAGTGTGACCACGCCACGGGATGTTGGGATTAATCAGAGTGTGCCAATAAGGAAACATTGCGAAACCCACCGCTCATTGAAGTTCTGCACACGAAGGTTTGACTGGTAGGTCGAAATAGAGAGCCGCCAATTTTCTGTCAAGGTGACACGTACACTGCATAGAGCAACTAAACCGCCAACTGCAGCCGTTCTTACTCTGCACCAAAATGGTGGCACCTCAAGAAAAGCAAAGAATTAAGCGTCGATACTCTAAGCCAGGTGTCTTCAAACTCTTCTATTTGAAGGAGCCCCTATCTGCCTCAAATGGAGGCTAAGGAACCCCTCCCTGCCTAAGTATTGATTCAATAAAGTTGTTCGAAAGCTCACGGGTCTTCTAAACAATAATGCACATACTGTTTAGCTTATGGACAGGCACCAATGAGTTAATTATAATTAATTCCATTTGTTGATACAAAGTCATTTTAGGTGTTTGCATGAGAGAGAGGGTTTGCGATGGTCGACGCCTGATTCATTTTTGCATTTGATCGTGATCGTCTGCTATTCCAACTAAAATTCAACAAGTAACGTGTTAATATTACAAAACGATTGCCACAACAAAATGTAAAGAGTATAAATATACTTTTTATCTCATTCCATGCAAGTAAAAGTATGATCTCTTTTATTTCGGTTCTACTACTTTCTCAGACGTTTGACCTGCTGCCTTGCCTGTAGGATTTCGCTCAATCAATGTATCCACAACTGCTAGTCTTTTTTTTTTTTTGCTTGTTTTTTGGATTTTTTTAAATTGCTACAACTGCAGTTTTTATTAGTCCTAAATAGGCGTCTCTTGTTATTGAAAGGAATCGTAGCAAGAGTGTTATTTGAAAAAAGATAAAATTGTAAATGCTGGGGGAAGGATGCTTGTTTCGCCTCCGTTTGTGTGAAAGCCATACCGAGGCTGTTACCTTAGCTTCCTTTTAATGAACATAATGAAATGATTGTATTAGCGCATTAACTTGCGTTGATCTTTTTTTTTCTTCTTCCCGGTGTTTCGATTGAGCAGGTGGGACTAACAGTAAAAGCGTGTAAGGCGCAGTAGTGCTAGTGGATGACTTCCAAAAAAGGATCACAGTTAAAAATAAGACACGCGCAAAATCCAAAAAAAAAAAAAGAAGTCCCTAGCGCGATTTGAACCCGGAACCTTCACGCCTCGACGACAAGTACCGGCGCTTCAACCTCTCGACCACAACAGAAGGCGCGAGGCGCGGCGCCGGCGGAGATATATAAAAATACTGCTACCGCTTTTATCTCATGTGGTTTTTTCTTTATTCTGGCTCCTATTTGCCCTCCCTGGCCGTAATTTTACCTGCCGCTCCTACAGTATAAAGGGGCGGTCAATTAGACTCCAGTTGAAAGTCTCTGCAATTAGTTTCTGCGAGCGAAATCAGGCTTCTGTGCTTGAAGCGATGCGGATCTCTCCGCCATTAGGCAGGCACGCTAGGTGCTTCCTTGTCCCCATGGAGCTGGTCACATGATGTAAAAATCCCTCCTGGCCGCAGCCGCGTCCGCGGCTGCAAGATGAGCAAACCGGCCCTGGGGATCGAGCGGCCCATACCCACTAAAACAGTGCTTAAAAGGAGGATGAAGCAGTATTATATTTGAGGAAACACACTTAAATCCTCTTCATTCGATCTCCAGGATCTCGAATATCGAAAATATCTTTTAATTTGGTGCATGGAGGCTGCAGAAAATCATTTTCGAAGTACCGCTGAAGGCCCTCCTTCCCAGAGCATGGCGGCACAAAAACAGTTTTAGGAACCTCCGCTCTCGCGCATCTTCAGCACCTATCAAAGCTATGCACGACCACTCTTGCTATCTTTAAAAAGGGCAAAAGAACACGTCACGACTGGTGCCACTGCAGGGGAATATACACCTGGCATGCTTGCGATTGCACGCGCGGCCCTTGAGCAACACGTGCTTGGCGGTCAAAAAATCCTCTTGCGACATAACGACTGGTCGGAGGCTTTTCGTGTTTTCTCGCATTTAGTTACATCTTCGGGGAAAATGAACATGATATTCAGATTCACGGGACAAACTACGCTGGAATCAACATGATGAACAGAACAGCGCACACAAAGGCAAGGACAGAGAAAAGGAACATGCACAACACACAAGCGCTGACTCGCAACTGAATTTATACACAAAGGAAGAAGAAAAGGACGATCTGAAAGACACGCAGGGCATGCAGTGCGTGTCACACGTGACATAACACCATTTAACTATAATGTCTTTGCCCCAAAGTCCAATCTAAAAACAAGGTTTCAGCTTGTAATAGTGTCACTGATGGGTGGCTAACACAGCAGTCCCCCAGGCTGTTGATGCAATGTGCTTCCAAGATTTCGCGAGTCGTCTTGTCTCGATAGTGTCCAATTATTGTTGTGCCTTTAAGAATTGGAGCACACGAGCAGGAATTGCAATAAACAGGAAGGTGACCTCTACCTTTTCTTTAGCATTGGTGCACTGAAAATAATTTATAAAAAAGTAACTATACACTGTAAACAAATGAAACTTTCTAGGATACTCTCTAGATGTTGGCAGATGTATATGAGGCATTTTACAAAATAAACTTTCCTTGCTGAAAAAAAATGTTTCTTTCTGGTAGTGTCTCTCCCTTAGTTGTTTGAGCAGAATTGGCTGGAAGGCTATGTACTTTTTGGCCCTTCAAGCCGGTCATGTGACCAGAAAATTTCTTTTGCGGCCATTTCAGCCATAGAGAGAGATGGCCACACTGACAAATGGACTCTGCGGCAATTTGCTGGTGAATGTGGCTATTCCTCCCGGCGGGTGCGAGTGATTTCTATACCACGTGACAGGTTTCGGGGGTGCAGGGAGGTACCCATCAAAGTACCTAGCGGAACACAAGCTCGTGCTGCACAACCATTGTGTGTAGTTGCTAAGGGTCTTGCAAGAATGCAGATTTTCATGGTTGCTGCATTCAAAATGCACGTGTACTAAGACTGGCAAATTTATCATCTCATAGTGAATTTTGGGGATGCACTTCCTCAAACTTCATTTTTAAAAAACACTGAAATTAAAAAATAATTTTTTGTTTTAAAGGGCAATTCTGCTTCATTTGTGACATTTAGAAAACTATGTAGCCCTTTTCAGTATCATATAGGAAGACCCCATGTCAAATATTATGATCCAATTCCGTCTATATATTTAATAAACTGGCCAGCAAACTTTCAAATCAGCCAAGTCACCGAAATCTGCCAACTCTAGCGTGCGACGTGAGGCACAATCGTCAGCGCAGTCAATGTGATGGAGTTGGAGCGGCCAACGTTGAGCCACTACGTCAGAGACATGACTACGTCCTTCTCACGTTTCATTTGTTTTTACTTCTCAGAGCGAAATTGAACTATGACGTCATGAGTTTCTCCTCCCGGTGTTGGCTGAACGGCGTTCACGTGACCACCGTAACGCGGATGCGCTAGTTTGCGCTGCCCTGCGCGCTTATCGGTCTGTTTCTCCACTCCCCTTGTCCTCTCTTGTCTTCTCCCTTTCCCCCTCTCCCCCGGGTCATCACCGTCTACGCCATGTGAAGCGATCTGCCCGCATCGCGTATCCTGCCCCTCGCCTCCCGGACGTCACAAGACCACGTGGTTCGACATGACCTGGCCATGACTCTGACGATGCGAGACCAATGTTGCTTGCAGCAACCGAAGTTTCGGTTTCGGTATCAGCTGATGCTTAAATTAGGATTACACAAATAATATTCCACATTTCCCAAATCCGAAGCCGTAGAGCTGTTTAGTAGTGCTTTGTGAAATGGAATCACAAGTAAGCCTACATTTTTCGGGATTGAGCGGAGTTGCCCTTTAAAGGCCCTGGTTGGAACACATAATTGACAAACATTAACCACAAAAAGAACTCTTGCCCAACATTTACATTGTCAGACGTAATTTAGTGGAGAACGTGGACGTTGCAGCTCGCTTTAAGCCCTGCCTAGTGCTTATATCTCTCACTGGCTGGAGAGACGATTGCCACGGGGAATGTTGGTCGTAAACTTGTTTCTCCGTGCTGCAACAGTTTTTTGTTCAGCACACTTTTATAATTCACAAACAAATTATCTAGGTATGGTCACTATTTTCAAAAATATCCCAAAACTGCCCTTTCTACTTTTTTCAAGCGACAACAAACATGGCGGCCGGCATTTGCGGCGAGTAGCTCTACGCACTGCTCAGCTCGTTGAGCTCGTCTATCTTTAAGAGTGCGAGAAGTTCCGACTTCGTCGAGATTACATCCATTGGGAGGCTACGGCGAGACTGCATGTTTCCGCAGTACGACGTGATACTGATGGGGCAGCATGTGCATTCCGAGACCATCTCCATCCCCTTGCTTTCTTTAACGAGCTTGTAGTTGCATCCGTTCCCAAATCGCAACCAATGGGAGTCATTGATTATGCCTACTATCGTGGATCGACGGCTACGTCCTTGCCGACGCCATTTGCAAAACAGTTGCGGGCGGCATTACCATAAAATACTTTTTACGGTACTTCTTCCCCCTGAACCTGATCATGCAACCTCAGGACCTTTCATACCCACCAAGAGGAGTAGCCGCGTTCCCTAGCCTGCATTCCCTAGCAAACTGGTCCGGGCCTATACAATCGTTTTTGTAAATAGACCAGGGATTCGAGGGCACGGAGGGAATTCGGGGTCTTTGTTGACATTCCTCATTTGTCCCCAAAAGCCGTGACATTCCCAAGCCCTCAAACCAGCTTTACCAGCACGAGTGTAAGACGGGAGTCGCATTCTCCTAGCCGCATTCATCTGCAAACAGGTCGTCAAGAGACAGTTGAATATGCGGATATCTCAGCAATATTAAAGGAGCACTCAAGCCGAACTGGACAGCGTCTATTTATGACTCCAACTCAATCTACGGGCTCTAAGCATCCTAAAAAAAGGCTCGAGGTACGCCTAAGCACTTCTTACAGGTTGTGAATGTGACCGCACGCGTGTTGTTCTTCCGCTCCCGTGTTTCGCTTGCGCCGCATCTGTGTCGGCCGTGCGCGCGCTCTCCCAGCTCTCCTCACAGCTCTGGCCTTGAAGTTGGACGCTTCGTGTTACGGGCGCAATCACGGCACGGACACGCAGTGCCATGGGGCGGCAGTCATTGAAACTGACGCGTGCAGCGGCCAATGGAAGCCTAGTCGGTGCGCGCCAGCCAATGGAATTAAAGGCGAAATCCATCAGCTTTACTCCACTCCTTTGGGATCGGGGAAACTAGGCTCTTCGTGTGGTTTCATAGCTGGGAGTTGGCTTCACCTGGAGATAGGATTGAAAATGCCGTTTGGCATGCTTCAAACAGATGCAACAGCTCACTCAAAGGGACACTCAATGCTTTCGCATTAAAACCTGAAATTACGCTCATGGGCCAGCCAATTTTCCCATTAAAAATTTCATCAAGATCATGACACGCCCATTTTTCTGCCTTTTGGAATGACACCAGGAGCCGTTGGATGGCATTTTCAAACAATAATTGCTGTATTACGTCTCCTACACCCAAAGACTAGACGTTTTTTTCAAAATAAAATGCACAACGCGCATCATAGTAACATTCAGAATCTCTGCGTAGTTAACTATTTTCAATGGTCAAATTTTATAGTGGTGGTGGAAACAAAAGGGTGAGCGCCTTTCCCCCCATTCATTTAGAACTGGTAATTAATACTGACAAAAGCCCAACAAACAATATGTCATCAAAAACAAGCTTCCACAAAAAGCACTTGAGTGCCCCTTTAAGGATTAGAGAGAATTCAGGGACTTCCCTAACATTCCCTATTTCCCCCAACAGTGAAGACTGTGGGCACTCCAAGGGCCTTTCCCCGCAAGAGTGCAAGGCGGGCGTCACCTGCTCCTCGACGATAAGGGTGTCCCCGGAGCGGACCGGGAAAGAACCCAGCTGGCGGAGCTCGTCGGAGCAGTCCAGGGGCCGGGGCGGGAAGTCGGCCAGCACGCGCAGGGCCGGGGGTGGGATGCCCGTCAGGCTGAACAGGCAGGCCTTGAGCTCTTCCACCGTGCTCTCTCCGGTCAGGGTGTCCAGACGGAAGTGACCCTGCTGGCTCTTCACCCGCAGCACCAGGGGCTTGGCCGCCATGCCGCCGCTCGCTCCCCGCCCGTCCTGAGGGCACCGGTCAGAGTTTGGCGGTCGCTCATTTGTCGCGAAATAGACCCTTTCAAAATTCGGTCTGGCCACTTTGACCACGATCGTCATTTTTTAACTAGCACAGCTGGGGGATGGGAGGGACAGAGAAAAACCGGGACTATCTCCCACGTGGCTTCATCCCGAAGTTTCAATCCTAACTTCTAGCAAGTTTGGTGTTGGGGTAACGCTGACCAGGCTTGACCAGAGGGAAACTGGCGACTCCCTTGCCAGGGGAAAAAAGAGGTGGGTGATTTTTTTGTTTTCTCTTCACCCAATTTCTTAAAGGTCACCCTGGAGATATCCCACGCTGCCTGATGATAGTTAAAAAAATAAAATGCAGAAAAGAAAATTGGTTTAAAAATGTGAAAAGAAAAAAACTGTATTTCATATTAGTTTTTAGGCTAGGTGGTGCAAGGTATCGCCCGTTATAAAAGGTACAGCCATTAACATCTACCCATCCTTGAGTGTATGGCATCTGTGCAAAACTAAAGGTGGCCTTCTTGAGGCTGATGAAGGAAGAAGTTGCGAGATATTAACAAGCGGAGGTTATCATAACAATATTAATAATAATAATCATTGAATTTATTTTCATCAAATTTGATAGCGGCGATCAAGAAAAAAAGAAAGCTGCAAGCCTATAGTGCACAGCAAGGAACGCGGAGCAGGAAATAAAAAAGTAAAACGACTGCCGAAAGTGTACTGTGATTGACAGCGGTAGCTTCTGCCCTAAGGAAAGGCATGTTGAAGGAGATTTTCCTTCAGCCAGTGTGCTGTACAATGTTTACAATGGGTTCTTTGCTTCCAGTGGAATTGGTGTAGGAGATGTGTGTGAGGAGATGTTTGCTTAGGTGGAACAAATGTGTGAGATGTTGCATGTGTTAAAGAAGGACACGAGATGTGCTTTTTCTTTTTGCCGCAACTGCAATGGAAGAAGCAAAAGTATGTACGTGAGCTCTTCTGCAGAGGCACGGGGAGCACACGAAAATGGAACCTGGGCGGCGGCAATGGGGAGGCTAGGGGGTGTGCCCGCACGGCATGACTACGTGGGTATTTCGCAACGGCGGCTGCCGGAGGTCTGGGGGCGGGGGAAGAAGGGAGGGTGTCACCAGAGGGTACGTGGATGTAGGGGGAATGATGGGGAAGTGAAGAGCGCTCTTCCCGTGATCACGTGGGTTTTTCGAAACAGCGACGGCCTAGAGGGGAGAGAGGGGGGCGGTTAGTGAGAGAGAGCCTTGTCACAGTTGGCGTGCATATGTAAGGAATGACGGAGAAAGTGAAGCAGTGCGTGTGTTGCAGAGTAGGGTTTTGCATTCATACATGAGCATCTTTTGCCGAGAAGGAGCACTAACAGCCACTGCTTTAAAAATATGAAAGACGTTTACAATTTTCTGTAATGCCAAATTAGAGTGCAGCTCTTGAAGAGGAGGAAGGGAGGGTACAGAGGGGAGGGTATGCCCCTCCTGCCCTTCCACTCCCATTTAGTGGGAAATTTTCGCAAATTTCCCGCTAAATCAAGCAAAAATTTCCCTGCTTAATTAAGCAGGGAAATATTTCCCCGCTAAATTTAGCAGAAAAATATAGCAAAAATTTTCCCGCTAAATTTAGCGCAGAAACTGAATTGGTGTTGAGGTGACGTGACATTAATTTCCTTGCTACATTTAGCGGAAAAGTTTCTGCTAAATTTAGCATGCGTGTCACGTGATGTCACGAGGAAAAAATTTTCCCGCTAGATTTGGTGTGAAATTTAGTGGGAAAATTTTCCAGACAAATTTATCTGGAAAATGTTACCCTTGTGACGGCATGTGCAATGCCATTATGGGAAACATCCATAATGCAACGCACAAATATGCCGACGCCGCTCAACCCGGAAACGGGCGCCTAAGAGCTGCGTTCTAAAAAATTGCAGCGTCTCCTTTGGCATGAAATGGCCAAGGAACTAAGATTGCAATCTTGAAAGCGCCAGGTGGCACCGGATTGGAGTGGTGTGGTGGCACAATGTACAGTTTCCTCTTTTACCGTGAATAAAGAGTCCAAAGTTAGCGTACAGTGGTGTCCAGTTCTGCTCTTTTAGTCCCTGTTTTCAAGTGCTAACATGCCTTCTCAAATTCAGCACCAACTTGCTTAAAGAGGAACCTGCAAAAATATTCTTCCACCTGGCGGAAAGTCCTCCTCGCCCTCTTTTTTTTCTCTTTTCCTCTTGTCTAACTGTATGGCGAGGCAGGGGAAAGGTCCCCTTTTGTATCGGCTTCTTCTGAGAGGATAAGCCTAGGGTAAGAAGGATTTTTGAACCCTCGCAAAGCCTAGCCCTCCGGGAGAATGCATTTTGAAGCTGGAAGGCTTCGCCCTGGCAGTCACCCATTTGAGCTGTCAAAGTTGTTTGGCTGCAGCCTGTGGCAAAGTAAACGCTTAAAGGAAAGCTGCGATGCATCCCCACACCAATTGAACATACTTTTCATGCTTATTCTCGGTTTCTCAAATGATGTGCGGGATGTGGTGGTTTCAATATGTGAGCATGATTTAAAAGTTCACAAAACATCCAGCATTCTCAAAAAGCCAGCCTATCACGCTCAAACCTTCCTGAAATGGGAAACAATGGGAAAAATGAATGTCTACCAGGCGCTGGCACCTTAGCGAATCTTTGTTTTCGTACAGTGCGCATAAATTATTGTGTGCCTAGCTTGCAGGATATGATCGCCAACGAAATGTGGATGTAATTTATATTTACACATCCTAACAACCACATGAGCTGAAAGAGCAGCAAGGGTGAGTGTCAATATTAGGGAAGTTTTAGGGGTTCGTTCTTAGCTTTCAAAAACCGTACGTCACAACAATATATAAGCAATGTTTGCTATGACCATTCTTGATTGAGCACAGCTATCGGAAAAGGAAACACAATATTAAACTCCTATTGGGAAGCTTAGCGTGTCCTGTTATCATTCAATGTTGCTTGTATCGGTGCTATAGGTGGGCTACCACTTCCAATAATTCTTTGGGGCTCATTTTTGTTGTAACATGAAACAAGATAGTAATTTGACATTTTAAAAATATACGTACACTGTGCCACGAAGTTTGCACGAACAAACTATTCGAAATTTTTCTCCTCCGCCTTTTCTTGTGAGAAGTATATGATGTTTAGAAAACTGTTAATGCGAGTATCCAACCTAAGCGGTAGACCTTCGAACTAGGCAACACATAGCTGGGGAAAAAAGCAAAAAGCGCAGATATGTCGTAGGCGCTACCAGTGTGGCGTAATGTACGCATACCGTTACACTATCAGTGCAGGCAGAGTAAGTCAGTAAAATTAGCACACACACAAAAAAAAGTTTTTTTTTATAGCTCATATTTGTCATTTCTAAACAAGCGATTCGGCAAAGAATGCTGCTGTTGGTCATCAAATTACGTTGCATCAGTTGGTTCCTGTACACTAAAATTTGCATGACCCTTGCATTTAAATTGCAATTTTATGTTCGGGCTAGCTGTGTCACGCAAAGTAAGAGACAAGTCTATTTCTCAAACATTTGAACAAAACCTCCATTACGCCAAATAGACATTTTGCGGGAACGCTCTTTCACTGCTTGTTTAGGGTTAGTATCTACGTCAAGCGATTTGACACTGTTTGCAGAATTGCTTATATAAAAATAACATTCCAGCTATAAAAAAAATATTTTTTTGTAAGATAAATTTATTTATTTGCTTTGATCTTGTAGAGGTATGCGTACATTACACGACAATGTTAGTGCGAACACAACGTCGGCACTTTTTGCTATTTTTCCGCAGCAATGTACTGTCTAGCACTAAGATCTACCACTTAGGTTGTATATATACTGGTGGTGCAAACCTATGAATAGTAGTACTATGGATAGTATCGATAGCCGCCAGAAATCTGACTATCGATAGTAAAAAAACTATCGATAGCACTATTGATAGTCGACTATCGATAGTCAACTATCAATAGTCAACTATCGAAAAACTATCAATAGTACTATCGATAGTCGACTATCGAAAAGCTGTGGATAGTACTATTGATTGTCGACTGTCCAAAAGCTTTGGACAGTACTATCGATAGTCGACTATCCAAAAACTATCATTAATCGACTATCGGAAAGCTATCAATGGTATTGTCGACGATTTACTATCGATAGTTTTGCGACACTAGTAGTTTATGTCGCTCCCTCTTTTTTTTTTTTTTTTGATGCTTTATTATTTTTTTTTAAATGCGACACCAACTAGCCCAGGCAATTATCATCCTAACTTTGGTTCAGCTTTCAGTGAGGGTGAGGACGGGAGTTTGGGCAAGGAGAGGAGAAAGGGAGCTGAGGTAGGGCGAGGGTAAGATGGGCCGTGGAGGAGGAAGCAGACGGAATGCTGGAGAAGAGAGGGGGAAACCTCCTTCTCCCTTTAGCGTTCCGTCTGCTTCCTCCTCCCCGGCCCGTCTTACCCTCGCTCTACCTTCTTGAGTTGAAACGGACTAGAGCGGTGCAAAGCTATTGATAGCACTATCGATAGTATCGATAGTCGCCAGAGTTCTGACTATCGATAGTCCACTATCGAAAAGCTATCGATAGTACGACCGATATTCGACCATAGAAAAACTATCAATAGTACTATCGATAGTCGACTAACGATAGTTCTGAGACACTATCGATAGTTTTGGAAAAGAACTATCGATAGTATCGATTGTCAATTTATCGATAGTTTTGCATCACTAATATATACTCACATAACACCGTTTTCTAAACGTAATTAACTTCTAAAGAGAAATAAAAAACGTTAAAAACCGGCAGTAGTTTGTTCGTGCAAACTGCGTGGAGGAGTGTACCTATAATGCTTTTACAATGTCAAACTATGGTCCCGTGACATGATAAAAAAAAAATGTTGCATTTGCTGTAGTTTTTTGAAGACTCCGAAGAATACTTTGAAGTGGCAGCCCGTGCTATAGTACCGAAACAAGGAAGGTTGAACAATAACACGACACC